CGTATAAATAGTCAGTACTCTAATATTCTTCAAATTAAGAATAAGATATTGCAAATTAAAAATTCCAAATCACGAAATTGGAAGAGACTATAACGACGTTTTTTAAATTTTTTCCGTTAAGAATTTAACATTTAAGTTACAAGGTTCAAACAAACTTTGTAGTACTTTAATTAAGATAGGCTAGATATAACTAAACTTATGTATAGTTCAGGACAAATTCATAATTAATCCCTATTTCTTCATTCATCATTATAAATGTATATATATATATATATATTGTTTTTTATAACGTCAGTAATAATAATTAGATGTATAACGTTGTAAAATTTGCATGAATAACAGATTGTAATTTTGAAAGTTTAATACGCGCATGTAATGTTGTAGAGTATTTAAAACTCATTCCAAATAGAATCTAATATGATTTTCGATAATGTGATAATATTTTGCATAAAAATCTAATTATTGGTGTAATAAGATGAAATTAGAGGTGGAAGTTAGCATTTCATCCATTACAAATGATATGTAAAAATTTATAAAAACTTGTATAATACATTATACCTACTTTATATTATAGAAAGTGCATTTAATAATTGCAAGTATATTTTCTTAGTTTTTTTTTGTATGTCACAATATAGTAGTTATAAATTAAAAATATATTGCACAAGTTTTTTACATCATTAAATTCTTCGGCATTCGCTATTCGTGCGTCACAAATGAACTGATTTCGGCATCATTTTATTAATGTAGCTAAATCAGCCAAGGAATGATATTTAAATTATTATTGGAATGAATTGTGAGACACAACGAAGAAAAGGTTTGCCTAAAATATCCGGAGATTCAACTTATTTCTGATTCTTTGCTATCTTATCCAGATAAATCAAATATAATTTACATTGTTGATATTCCTGATATGAAAATTTTTTTAAAATCCGTAAAGTGCAAAGTACAGTTTGAGTATTGAGTTTAAAGGTTTGGTTTCAATTTATCACGATGACTAATTTATTATTGGAAACGAAAAAGAAAAATGACCATTTGGAAAGATTATAGAAGTATGCAAAAGTTAGGTGTTGCACATTATATGCATGAATGTTATTAAATTCAATGAGACATTTGCAATATCGAAGAGATACATAGAGATATAAGCCGGACCTTGTTAATCCTCTATGGTGAGCGTGTAATGACATCAATTAGCGGGATGCGCGCCAGACGCAGATGAAAACAATGCAAGTGAGAGAGAGAGAGAGATTTGTCGCGCATTGAAATACGGTGAGTGTTGTGATGGCGAGGCGAGTAGGGTGAGGTTGGGCGGTAGGTCCGGGCGACGATATAGGACTGCGAAAGTGTGCGGGGCTGGTCATCGGGTTGCCGCTGTCGTTGGTAGCGAGGCTCGCGTAAACTCTTGGGGGGTCCGTAAGCAGCTTCGGGTAGTTGGGCACGTGTTTCCTTTGCGGGCGCTCGCGCGTTGATCCCTTCCTTTCTTTTTTCCATCCTTCTTTCTAGCCGCCGCTGCGAAAAACTAGCTACAGAAATTGCAATTGTAAGAATCACAATCGCTCCAAGGTCTCTCTATTCTTAAAACTTATTTTCTATACGTCTCTAGGATTTGTCAGATAAAAGGGACTAACTTTTTTGACCCTGTGATCTTGACTGCCATTCCCATAATGGTCATAGAGTCAACACCAGCTGTTGGATTATTACAAAAATTTAGCGCAACTGATGCAATCATCCTTCCGTACCCATGATTATAAATACTTTAATAAGTAAGCAATAGTGTCATAGGAATTTTAATTTATTCTTTTTTCCCCGATTAGGAATACTTGATTTTGTCCTTGTACAATCGTATTAATAACTTCTAAAAATAAAGGACAAAAATATAGCCTTACTTTCTTTTAAAGCCTATTTGTACTTTCAATTTGTCCAAGTAAATATTTAATAAGACTTGTTCGATTATTTAATACAATAAATTTATACATGGATTTATGAAATATCCAATGCTCTTGCGACGAGATAATTTATTAAGACGCTAATGTAAACTCAAGAATATCTGCATTAGATATCTAAAAGTACAGTGATGGAGCATATAGAGCATGATGAGTGTGATAATATAGGAATACGTAGAGGATTAGACAATACTAAAAGATGTTAATTATGATTTAGTATTCAATGATATTAAGATTAAGATCACAGACTTTCGATACGACAGTTCAGAAAATCATTTTCCAAAAGTTTTTCTTATTATTATTTTCTTTTTATGTAATCGTATAAAAATTGGAAATCTTTATTAGAGGATAATAAGTCTTCATAACATAAGAATGCTTCTTTCAATTAGAATATCTTTCAAGGTGATAAGCTTGTTAATAAACGGTAGCAAATTATAACGAAACTAATAAAGCGTAAGTAATCATTGATCATTATCGTCGCTGAAGAAATTTCTTGATGTAATTAGATAGAGGCTTGTATCTATCACTAGTATAAACTTGTACATTGTTAAGTCTTTAAAATATATCTTAAATTCTTTGAATTTAAATTCATTGGAAAGCCAAAAAAAAACCAAAAAAAAACCAAAAAAAAAAAAAAACAATAGAAACAATAAAAGAAAAAACTACAAAATGTACAAAATACTGAAATTTCAGTCTCTTGTATTGGATTAAATTTCCGTCTTTCTAAACTGAATTTCGATCTAAAGACTATAATATCTGCGTCGTTACAGATGCATTTCAAATTTGCTATAATATTTATACAAAAAGAATATATTAATATTTATAAACAATACTAGAAGATCATTGCTATACTAATAATTATTTACGAATATTAAATTCCATTTATTCCAACTTATTGATCAATTTATGATAATACACGTGTGACAATATTTATATAAATTACAAAATTTATAAAACTTACTATATATTAAAATTCTACAATACGATATTGAAAATCATGTTTTAAAAAGCTTATTTAAATAATATTTTATGATAAATTGGTTTGTAAACAATATTGTTGAGAGTTGATTAAAAAAACATAGGCCACGAACGATGTTTATTAGTAATATTTTAATAGTAATAAGAAAAAAAATTTTTATAATTAATAATTCATGTATAACTAGACAAAAGCTTAAAATTTATTGACATGTATCGTTATATATTTAATATCCAACACCATCAACACAACAACTTAATTATTTGTTTTAGAATTAATAGTACAAGAGATAAAACGAATCTGTTTAACATTTTAAACATATCATTACATAAAATTACATTAAAAATTTAATATAATTATAATATCACATGATATATGTCTTTTTTTATTCATATTGTAAGTAATTCTTTATGGCTTAATTATTTGTCTTAATTTTACATGGATTTTTTCCCAAACTATATTAAACGAGTCAAATTGAAATAAATGTATTGTTGTTTATCCTCGGTCATTCCTCACTCAATTCACCACTGAGTCTATAATAATTTCTTAAACATAAGTCACTATAATATTCACTTATTGAAGGAAATTGACAAATGAATTTCGATGCTTTTTTGCTGCAACGATTTAACTCGAATATAAACATTGTAAAATACTATATTCGAATAATAACGAAACGACTCTCTACATTTGAATATTTAATTTTACGAAGTGACAATAACTACATTGATTGTAGATGTTCAAATTTTCATCGAATTAACTAATGGGCGATGAGAACAGAAATAGTACTTAACGTACTATACGATATCATGAGAGTGCTTGCCCTATACAAGAAATATTATTTATAAGCGATGGGATTTCAGTGGCGCATGTAAATTGCAATGACAGTATTCGATTGTAGCTGTAAGTTTCATCGATCATAAAAGCTTTTCTCGGAAGCGTTGACGCATGGGTGGTGGGGTGGTTGGGTGGCTGGTTTTGCTTCGGGACGGGGTGGCGGAAGGGGAGTGACGGCGGCGGCGGCAGCGGCAGCGGCGGCGAAGAATCGTCCGGCACGAACAAGACAAAAGCTGGGATCGAGGACTGAGGAGGGGCATCGATAGATTAAAAGGAAGTTACTTTTTTGCTATTGGGAGAATTTAAGAGGCGAAACTTAATTGATTAATTGCATAGTCGAGTCATGAGATCGGGCAATTAAATGGCTTTCTCGCAAGCGTTATTTCTGTCTCAATTCCCTTGCTCTAGACGCTAGTCGGAGGCAGCGAGAGATTTGGAGAGAGAAAACGCGTCGCCAAGGCGCGTTCATGTTACAAATAAATTCCGACTCAGGCAACGGCGGGGCAGGACGGAATCCCCGAAGCGGGACCTTCCAATTCCTCGGATCGTACTGTTGACGGATCGCGGATTTTAGAATTTCTTTGTATCGCAAGGATGGGGAAAGGACCGAGAGACGTGGCCCTTCTCCCTTGGAGACGGGCGTTGCCGAGGGAGCGCGGGCCGGTTACCGGGCCGGCCGAAACGGCCCAAAGAATGGCCATTAATCGGCGCGAGTCGCCTGCCTGTATCCAGCCTCGGCTGCCGTGAGGTCCCCGACCGTTCCTCTCTCTCTCTCTCTCTCTCTCTCTCTTGTCCGGCTCCCCTCGGCACCGATGGCGGCTCAGGCTCAGGCTCAGGCTCCGACAGCGGTGGTGGCGGCGGCGGCGGCGGTGGCGGTGGCGGCGGTGACGGCGGTGGCGGTGGCGGCGGTGACGGCAACAGCAACGATGGCGACGCAGGCAAGAGGCGCACGCGACTGTGTGTGGCCGATCCCGAGTCACATAGAGAGGCCGACCCCGAGGTGCACACGTGCGCCCATTTCCCGCTGCAGTCGCGCCGATACGCGGGTCCCGGGCCGATGCCGCCCGCTGTGATCGTCCCGTAGCCGTGCGCGTTGACGAGGGACGGTAGAAGGGAGGGAGGTGGAGAGAGAGAGAGAGAGAGAGAGAGTGAGAGAGTTTGAGGGAGATAGGGAGATTGAGAGAGATTCAGAGAGATTGGAGAGAGAGAGAGAGAGAGAGAGAGAGAGAGAGAGAGAGGGGCTGCCAGCGGCGCGGCCACCCGCTATCCGCGCGAACGCCCGCAGTGTCCCGTCGCACGCCGGGCCGCTCGCTTCTCTCCGTCGCAGTCTCCGAGCGTTCGGCGACCGGCGCACTTAGAGTCACGACGAGCCGCGTACCTGAGGGATTTGCACGCGGACGAACGGAGCAGCCTCGACGTCAGCCGTCCCAGAGGAAACGCTAGTACAAGAGGATCTCTGTGTAAGTTTCAACGCCCTCTTTTACTTCCGGCTCTTGCACCTGGAATCTCGGTATTTCCTTAATATTTCGTTTAAGATTTTATGGTAAACAATGACAGCCGTTGCCCCGAGAGCGAAGGTCTTATAATTTTGGCAAACGTTCCGATTTGATGCAGCCCGATGCAGCCCGATGTAGCCTCCTTAAATCGTGACGAAATTAGGGAAATGTTTTTTCGATGAACTTGATCGAACAACACATCGTTCGCTCCATTCATCCTTGCATTTTCCGTACCTCGGTCCAAGTGTCGCGCTATTCCCTCTTTATCCAGCTGACTTGGCGAGCGAGCTTAGCGAAATGCGATCATCGCAGAGTCAATGATTATTAATCCGGTAGTCTTAAGGTCCTTCGTCGTCACCCACTGTCAACACTCGTATGCTTTCGCTTGTTCCTCGACTGTACTTCCTCATTAAATTGCTCATTTGGCTCCTTCCTGCGTTCGAACGCGATGTGACGCGGCGGCGCCGTGCCCGAACATGTATTGGTTTGCCGTCAGGGTGTTCGGTGTATAAACGCGAAGTTACGGAGGCATAAAATTGCAAAAAAAAAAAGGAAAACAAGCAAGAGCTCATAGTTTATAAGAAATGGTTGACGAAGCTTTTTCAAAAAAAGAAAAAACCCGGAAAAGTATTGAAAATAACGGATACAACGATTCTCGGTGGCACTCGTGGTATTTATAAAAAAAGTGTAAGTTTTAATAGACGATTTTTTTGTCTCGTGACGATATCATGTACTTATATATATATGTATATATACGTATTTATGTATATGGGGGAGTGGGAAAGGAAATTGGTAAGTCTGTGATGCGCGGGTGGGATAGTTGGTGCTGGATTAGGGCCTCGTTTGACGAGGTGTTACGGTTTAGCGAAAGTCTCACGAGTATTTGGTCGAAA